GTTTGTTCAATATTCAATACGATTAAACTGACAATTTTGACTAGGATTTCAATCTTTAAAAATAATAATTTTGTTTACGATTATTAAACGTTGATCAAGGAGAATTGATAAAAAAATATTCATATACACATTTGGAGATTTGTGTAAATAACCATCAGTAAGTTGTATGTGTATATCCCAACCATAGAGGTTGGTAAGACCTCATTTAACGAGGTCAAGTAGCGTTTCTAAGGATATTATCCTTCGAGGCACAAAAATCCACCACGTGGATATGGTTTGTAGGCAACTGTTACCCCGAGGAACTCAGTGTGTGGGCATTCTTTTAGCAGCAGTTATATACACAGTTTAGAAACACACGAAGTTCCACCTATGCATTTCTAAGTATACACATAGGTATAAACACTCTCTGAGAGGGAATATACGTATGTCACTTGATTTCGATCATAGGGGTTTTAGAAGCAATGCTTGTATATCCTGGAACCATAGAGTTGCTGTTGTTAGGAAACAGATTCTAGACAAGGAAGGAAGATCAAAGTATTGAAATTAACTCGACGAGCTACGCTTTCTGGTGTAAGGTAGGCCAGAAGAAAGCAACGAGTGGCCAAACCAAAACATGGAACAAATCCATGAAGTCGCTGACAAATGGACTGAGCCAAATTAATAACGGGTGTAGACTGCTTGGTTGGGGTTAGAGACCTTCAATTGTACGGCTAGATGGAATACGGCTTGTAGCGGAATTTATGTCACGTTTTCCATCTTACTTGAGACTCATCAGCTGGATGCATCCGAATCCTGTTGTTGAAATTCACTCTTTGGGGCTTGAACCCAACTAGACAGTCTTGGTGAACTGACAAAAAGCTTTTCCATATATCCATTTTTTCATCCTATGACATCATGTTTTTAACTTTCCCCTCATTTCTTGACCAAACTATGTTTTGAGAAAAAATTACGTCACAGAGTTCTCTGATTCGTCATTCGTAAAATACGCCATGACTGCTTAAGGTGATCGTTCGTGACTTTAACATTAAAAGAAATATCATCACTACATTCAGACTCAGACACAACCTAAATATCATGCCCCATTTAATTAGAGTGTATTTTGGACGCAAGCGATTAAACATGCATGCATAAACATCGGAAACCTTCTCCATGAAGGAACCATGTATACAATAAAACTATTATGGTTAGCATCAAACCTATGTAGGGAGTGTAGAAAGTAATTCTCCTGAAATAAATAGTACAGTATGTAATCAACAACGATACCGATGTGGCTAAGTTCGATAAAATTGACCAGCTGAATAAACATGGTCAAGTAATCATGCCATTTCCTTCATACGACTCAGTTTTGAATGCAATCAAACATGATGTTTCAACTATTTAAAATACATCTTCTGATTACGTCTGTAAGTGGTCGCTATCAGTATCATCGGCTTTCAATGTATCCAGTATCTTAAATAAATACACTTCTAAAAGCTAACAAAAAATTAATTGTAGATTACATCATGAATTGAAAACCAGAAAGAGCTGGATAGTTGTTTCGCCCTAATATGGTATTCATCAGATATGCGCATCCTTGACTTCATAAGGGATCGAATACAGAACCTTTTTTGTCTCATAACTGAGTAATTCATCCGAAGATCATTAGGTCGGTGTCCAGTAATGTTTATGTCTTACCTCAGTGAACTCACTGTATTAGAGAACGATCTCTTATTGACCAAAGTGAAGAACTGTCTTATGCCCAAAACAATTAAATCATAAACTCATAGAATATTCGTTACAAAAAAACTAACCGCAACCAATAATCAAGCCATTCATTCAAGAGTTGGTAGCAATAAGAATTCATTAGAGAGAGTTCTAAACTGTCACGCAGATGACAGTACATTAGAATAATTTGGTTTAAAAATTATGCTACTAATAAGTAGCCTAACTTTATTTACAAAATAATCCTCCGACACTAGAAGCTAGAAATGTACCGCTATATAGTGTTGTTAATTACTTTCGATTTCAAGGCACTTTAGTTTTCCTTATAAATAGATTTTGGATTTGACGAATATCAAATTTAAATTACAATGTGCATTTACTTAGCGTTTTTATTTATGTTGTTGCGTCCTGAAACACAGACACACATTTAGGCGTCCGACAATAGTCGACTTCCTAGACCTAAAGGCGGCATTTGACTCTGTGGATCGTGAGGTTCTGTGGCAGTGTCTGTCATTGAAAGGTGTACCAAAGAAGTACATTAACCTTATACAAGCTCTCAACTCGAACACCGCCGGTCGAGTGAGAGCCTATGGCGAACTGTCATCTGAATTCTCTACATCAAGTGGGGAGATAGTCAAGCGTGTCGACCGCTTCACTTATCTCGGGAGTCTCATCAGTGCTGATAGCCTGGTGTCTGACGAAATCTCAGAACGGATACAAAAGGCTCGATTGACTTTTGCCAGCCTGCGTCACTTATGTCGTAGAGGAGATATCTGTTTGCTAACAAAAGGACAAGTCTACTGCGCAGTAGCTTGCTCCGTCCTAATTTATGACTGTGAAACATGGCCAGTGAGAGTAGAATATATTCGTAGGTTACTGGTTTTCGATTATAGGTGTCTTCGAAGCATAGCTCGTGTAATGCTGTTGTTAGGAAACGGGTGCTAGATAAGGATAGCAGATCAATAGATGAAATAATGAAACTTCATCAGTTGAAGTGGTTGGGACATGTGTAATGTATGGCTAAGCTCCGACTGCCTCGTCGAGCTATATTTTGCAGTGTAGGAATAGGTTGGAAGAAAGTTAGGGGCGGCCGAACCAAAACATGGCAGAAATGCATGAAGTCACTGACAAGTGGACTGAGTCATGTTGGTACATATCGACTACCTGGTTGGAGTCCGAGAGATGTTAGTAATCGATGGTTAGAGACCCTGAATGACATGGCTCAAAACCGTTTGCAATGGCCCAGGTGCATTCATTCTTTGTTCTCTCGAATCCTAAACTTTTTAATTCTTCGTCACTTTATTTTATCTTTCTAAGTCTATTTCACTAGATTCCACTTCTTGAATAACATCTTGAAATCCTAACCTATCAGACTACTGATAATAACTTTACTACCTCTACTACTATGGGATTTGAATTGACAATTACATCTGTGATAATGTGGTATGGCAACATGAACTGATGTATGTACGCACGAAGTTCTACGTTGCTGTTGACTGACTGTTCAGAAGTCCCACACTAAGAAGAAACATTCATTGATTGCTTCCAGATTATTAATGGTGGTCTAGCTTAAATTAGTTTGTGATTGGAAATTCTACTACAATCTCCAAATATCCCTTACATTAATAAATCTGACTTTATACATGCTAAAAGCATTCGCTCATCTACCCTTAATTCACCTATAATTCTCCATACTTATGAACTCTAGAAATCGTTGTTATTACGTAACACATCATATCTATTGTCATTTACTAACTTGTATATTTATTTCTATGTGATCTAAAACGTACGCAAAACTCTTCAATTCTTTTCTAATTATCATACAATTCATTTTGTGTTTTAGGACTCCATGTAATTACTGCTTCAACCTTCAATATACTTGTTGATATATATCAAACATACTTGACAAGATCGTAAATGACAGAACTAACATGAAAGTTGGCAATGATTTACTTTAACCTCAACTTATACAGTTGGGAGGGTTTAGACATCCCACCTACATACTTACACTTACATGCCGTTTTATGGGTAAAACGATAGGTAAGTAACTACTACAAGAGGACAGGCTGCTTATGGAAGTTAACTATACACTAATAGTCAATGTCTCAGCCTATATGCTGTGTTCTATGAATGCATTAATAAACTGTGTAAAGAATTTTGGAGCTTTCAACAAGCTTATTCTCTTTACACTCAATTAAATGCACAACTTCATATTCTTTTTGAATTTAACAATAAATACACTGATATAGAAGCAAATTATCTGCTTCACCTTCTCAAAAATTATATGATTAATATTGAATCTTTCTCATTAGCATTCCTGGTTTTTTCAGAGTATTTTTGGTTGCATTTTGTCGATTCTGTTTCATCAATCTAGTTGAAATAGAAACTTGTGTAGGTGATAACACAAATAATTATGTCATACTTAGAATTTTATTATGACTTCTGATCGACAGATCTAAGCGGAAAATGTAGGTTTATTCAAAATCGTGTGTTTAGTACAATTGTAAGCATGGAATATTTCAACAAGTCTCCTTTTTTTCAAAATGTAAACCGCCAGTCACCGTGAAGTTCGAATCGCGCCTTTTTTATATAACTTATGAAGCGATAGGTCGTAAACTTTCTCTATATGCGCGCTTGAATAGATAGATCATGCACATAATAGACATAATCGGTGCATTAAAACACGCCGAGAGCGATAACTTGTTGAAATATTTTGAGGTTAAAAAATTGAAGAAGACAGATAGCTCAGATATCGAATTAGGCCGCCACAAGTACTATGATTAAATTAGTAAGTACTGCTTGATTTAGAATTTTCAATACAAATGTGAAGACAGTTCTACTGTATGGAGCGGAAACATGGAGAACTACCAAAGCCATCATTCAGAAGATACAAGTGTTTATTAACAGCTGTCTACACAAAATACTTCGTATTCGTTGGCCAGACACCATCAGCAACAACGTACTGTGGGAGAGAACAAGTCAGATTCCAGTGGAGGAGGAAATCAGGAAGAAGCGGTGGAAGTGGATAAGACACAATACGAAATGCACCCAACTGTGTCACGAGACAAGCCCTCACATGGAACCCTCAAGGCAAAAGGAAAAGAGGAAGGCCAAGGAACACACTACGCCGAGAAATAGAGAAAGATATGAGAGGAATGAACAAACATTGGACAGAACTGGAAAGGGAAGCCCAGGACAGAGTTGGTTAGCGAAAACTGGTGGGCGGCCTATGATCCATTGGGGGTAACAGGCGTAAGTAAGTAAGTAAGCTTGATTTAGAAATAGAACAATCACAATTTCGTTACAAATTTTCATATTGTACAAAAAAGAAAAGGGAAATTTCCACCAATGTTATTTACAATAAATGGCAGTCAGTATTCACATTTGCACAACACTCACTCACTCACTCATTGTATGACTAATTTTTTCCTTTTCTTCTTTTTTAAACTATCTTCTAAGAGAATACTAGACTCAGAAGCAGATCGTTTACGATTCTTCATTATTGGCGTTGTTAAAGTATCAAGACAAGAAGCAACATTGTCACCATTCATCATTGTTGACTGTTCAATAATAGCATTGGCCGATTCAGAATGATGACGTTTTTTCTTTTTCTTTACAACAATATTTTGTTCTTCATGATTATTAGTAGTCATCAATAATAGTTGATGTTGGTTTGTTGTATTAACTTGCTGTTGTTCATCATCATCATCAACATTATCATCATCATGATTCACTACTAATTCATTCTGATTATCAACGGTTGTAGTAGTAGTAGTATTGTTAATAATGTCTCCATTTAAATTACGTTTTTTCTTACGTTTCTTTTTACGATCTACCATTGTTGATGTTTCAACAGTTGTGGTAATCGCTTCTTCTTGACTATCAGAATCTCTTTTATTCAATGTTTTAATAGCTTTTTTCTTCATTCGTTGTATATATTTATTTACCTTGATATAATAAATAAGAAAAACGTTTCAAAGTGAGCGGAGTTTTCAATGTTCATTTTAAACACAGTTAAATAGATTTAATACATAAACATTCAGTAGAATTTCGTATGTGTGTTCATCAGTTCAAGTTACCAAACCATATTAGCACGCACGCAGAGATGCAATTGTCAATTCACATCCCATAGTAGTAGTAGATGTAGTAGAAGTATTAGCGATAATGGAGAAGATTAGGGTTCGCAGATATTATTCAAGAAGTATAATAATCCCGTGAAATAAACACAAAAAGACGAAGATAAAAGTGATGAAGAATTCAAAAGATTAGAATTTGAGCGAAGACAAAAAGTGGATGCATCTGCGCCGTAGCAAACGATTTTGAGCCGTGACATTCGAAGTCCCTATAACTACCGGTTACGATTGTCCCGTAGACACGATCCCGGTAGTCTATACCTATTATTATTAATTTGGCTCAGTTCAGTTTGGATTTGTGCCATGTTTGGGTTTTTCTACACCTAGCATTCTTTCGGCCTATCAAAAAATATCGCTCGGTGAAGTAGTTAGTTGGTGGTTAGGCATACGTAACGACACACTAACATTGATAGATAACAGATGATTATTAAAATCAAGCTTATAAAATAATGTCAGGGCGTTGATCTTAAGGTTCATTAAGGATACAAAAAGTCAACGAAAGAACCAGTGATAACTGCATAGTGCAAAGGAAAATTTTACTTGTCTCAAGGTTTGTAACAATGCTTACCGATGATCTCAGTAACCTTAGATCTCCAAGTTTCGTGGTGAGAATAATGCTTTTATACTTCTGTAATGAAATGCATATTTCTAATTAGTTCGCAACAGAATATGACTATCATTCTGTCACCCCCATCGTAGCAGCTACCCTGACGTGGTAGTCAGGTTAGCTTATCGTGATGAACCAAATGAGCTATATTGGCTAGAACATATGTTCCTGTAGGTTCTAACATACCAGGCAGGTCGACTGGAGAACGATGACACTAAAAGCAGCTACTCAAGGTCTGAGGGCGAAGTCGTGCTGCTGACTGTAGAGGGCTGTGACAGCAGTAAGGTGTTTCCCTCGGACAACCAGCATCTGTAGCGATGCTGCCCTCTCACAAACTAGGAAAGGATTTCCGTCTTTGGCGATAAGGGCTTTTAAGAGCGGAGCTAATATTCAAAAAACCTTTCATAAAAAGGCTGCGCGTGACCGGCCTCAAGCAGTTGTCCCTCGAGATCTGCGGTCACGCTCCCCGGTCTCCAAGACCAACACTAATCCAACTTCCCTTTCAGGTTCCTCAAGAAACACCCTTTAACGGTGTGGGCAGTTGGGAAGTGACATCCGCCCTCATAAACATAACAGTACACGAGACCAAATCGGTCACAATCGAATCCTTCCTACACCCTCTAACATCTCTTTTATCTCCACGACTAATTCTTCTTATATTCCTTTATCGCCCTGTACCCTTAATGCAAACGATGAGAGTTCACGAAAAGTTTTCTCTGGTCTCCTGAGAGCCCCTTCTAAACTACATGTTGGAGCTTTTAATGTACGGACATTGTGTCGAATAAGGCGACAGACTTCCTTAGCTAGGACTTTCGAATCTCGCGCCATCGATGTATGCTGCGTCCCCGAAATGCGCACACAGCAGATAACTATTCCACCTTATCAAGGGAACCCAAACTAGGAAACCGACTGTAAGTGAGACTATCGCGAAAAACGATTGGTTTATTATTCATTCTCAATCCAAGACATTGGGTCAATGGGCAGGACACTTAAGGGTTCAGTTTAACTGGCCTGAAGCCACACTTCGGTTGCCCACGATCTCCATGTCGCCATACCACATCAGCAGAGAGACGCAACTGTCAGTTCAAATCCAGGAGAGATAGCGACAGTAGAAACAAGTATTAGCAGTAAGGAGTGAAGATATGATTCAAGAAGTGTAATTCAGTGAGATATATTTAGAAGGAGAAAGGGAGAGATTATGAGGAATTCAGAAGGTTAGAATTAGAGAGAACACAAACAGTGGATGCACCTGCGCCATCGCAAAAAATTTTGAGCCATATTGTTCAAGGTCTCTAACCATTCGTGACTCTCGTCTCGCCGACCCCAAAAAGGTAGCCTACATCTACCAACATGACTCAGACCACTTGTCAGTGACTTCATGCATTTCTGCCATGTTCTGGTTTGGCCACCCCTAGCTTCTTACCAACCTACTCCTACACTGCAAAACATGGCTCGCCGCTGCCGTCGGTGGTTAGCCATACGTAACACATGTCCCAACCACCTCAACTGATGAAGTTTCACCACTTCATCTATTGATCTGCCATCCCTATCTAGAACTTGTTTCCTAACGACAGCATTGCTTATACGGTTGTTCCAGGATACACGAGCAATGCTTCGGAGACACCGATGATCGAAGACTAGTAACCTAAGAAAGTCCTCTACTCTTAACGGCCATGTTTCACATCCGTATAGTAGGACGGAGCGAACTGCTGAACAGTACACTCGTCCTTTGGTTAGTGAGCGGATATCTCGGCTGTGCCATAGGTGACGCTGGTTGGCAGAAGTCAATCGAGCTTTCTGTATTCGTAGAGATATTTTGTCAGTCACCAGGTCATCAGCACTGATGAGACTCCCCAGATAAGTGAAACGGTCTACACACCCGACTGCTTCACTCCCTATCACTAGTTCAGGTGCCGATGCAACCCAATCCTGGTGCAACACTTTGCATTTCGACGGGGAGAACCACACCCCGAACATGATTGCATTGTTGCTCAGGGTAGTCTATAAGAAAGGACAAAAGTCCTCTTGCGACAATCAGAAAGGACTCAGTCTAACTAATATTGGCCTCAATAATACTCCAACGCCTAACTAGAGCTCGTGAAGCACAGACTCGAGAAAACCAGGCTGGTTTTTCACATAGACGTAGGTGTATAGACCAGATATTCACACTACATCAGGCTCTAGAACAAAGACACACGTTTAGACGCCCCACAATAGCAGTATTTCTGGACTTTGGGGAGGCATTTGACTCTTTCGATCGTGAGGTTCTGTGGTAATGTCTGTCACTAAAAGTTGTACCAGAGAAGCACGTTAACCCTATGTAGGCTCTTTATTGAAACACCACTGGTCCAGTGAGAATTTATGGAGGACTTTTATCGGAATCCTTTACTTCAAGTGGTGTCCGTTAGGACTGTCCGCTTTCCTTATTCTTGTTTAACTTTGTTTTACATATGCTTTTATCATCGTCTGACTTTTCAGGGGTGGACCTTCTACCAGGAGACTCGCTTGTGGACTTACAATATGCCAATGACATATTTCTATTTAGTGAAGTTGTTATTTCAGGAACTAAAATAAGAAACACGTGGATTAAAATGAACTATCGGTATTCTCATAGTGATCTTTTCTCTGTTTGCTACACTAAAAAAGGTATCATCAATGAACATCTAAGCAGTAAATAATTAAAGACTAGTATACTTACTTCAGCTATTGCACGTGCCATTGCTTCAGCATTTGTAGGAGGCGTAGTGCCAGTCTCAAAATAATTTAATCTATCTTCAATCTGTTGTTTTAAATGTTTCCCATATATGTCACAAAGCACTTCACTGAAGCAATCAATTCGAGAGGCTATAGCACATTTTGCAGCTAAAAATCTAGAGATCTTTCCTTTATTTTCTCGTGCAGCACGCGTAATAAATGGACTATGATATATCAATCCATACTTTGGTGTAGCACCACGAGTTTTCAATGCCCTAAATAATGCTTTTTCCGCTCCCAATATCTGAATTGTTGAAGCAGGGAATTTAGCCAGGTTTGTCAAAGATCCCGCATGTGCAATTAACCTTGCACTTACTCTCTCCCCAATCATTGTACTGAGGTTTGGAGCTACACCAGCAAGTTTCTTAGCTAAATATTCTTGTGTTAGACGTCGACGTTCAATTAATGCACTTATTTTTTCCGTGAATGTTGCTAAATTCTCAGCATCATCATCTGTGATATCAAAACCTATATGTGTGTAATTGGAATCAATGCATAAATGCAATACGTTTAAAACATACCAACGGATGATTTAGCAGATTCAATAATATCTGAAGCAATTTGATTATTAGTTAAAGCTTCTATTGCTTCAAAATTCTCTTCTGTAGCACCAGCTCGAGTACGAATAAGACCGACTAGTTTGACAAATGTTGCATTGTCAGGAACAATTTTTGACAATTCTGGAAAATGATAAGAGAACCATTCTTTGACACGCATGCAAAAATTATTCACATCTTTATCTAATTGATCTAGTAAATTTATGGATTGAATAATCATATTGTCATTTCTAAACAAATAGATTAGTAAATGATTGTTTTTTTTTGAAAGAGAAATAAACAAACCTATAGATATTGAATTTCACTTTGGCTCTAGAATAACTATGACCTAAACCTATTTGAGCTTTGGATTCATCGAAATGAGAAAATTCATTGATGTATTTAGGAAAATAAAATCGTAAAGCTCGATAGACTTCATGAAGAATGGATTCCGAGGAACATGATATAGTTTCTGGCAATCCAATTTCAGGCGCTTTAAGCGATTCAGCAAGTTTTCGATCTGCAATACAAAGTAAAACACTAGAAGAAGCAGGTAAATTCTCTTCTATGAATGCTTTAAGTTCTTGTGGAACAATGCCTTCAGATATTCCATTACAATTTTGTAATGCACTTGCTGAAGAAGAGAAAGGGACAAATGCATGCAATTTGAAACACTTCATAAAATCTTCTTCATTTTCCAATAACTCTGCAGCTAATTGTTGTAATGCAGTTACATCTGAAGCATCTGATAACTTGATTTTGACTCGAAATAATGCATATCCCAACGCGTGCTCATAAAGAATATAGACCTTCTGCAAAGTAAAAAAAATATCATGAAAATATTACAATCACATGATCGCCTCAGTATTTTTAGTTCCAACCTATCAAACGTACACTTATGAATGGATGAAAGAAAAAAATCTTGCTCTGAGTTATATTTTGTTTGAAAAATGCTATGACAACTAAAATGGTATACTTTTGTAAAAAAGGGTTTCTAAATATCGGTAGGCCAAATTAACTTACTATAGAAATCATACTAACCACGTGATAGTTAGAATAAGCTTTTATTCAGTACATACATTAAGTGGATACTATTACCATGATGCAATCCAACAATGTGTAGTAGCAATCATCAACTTGAGTGGTGTACATGAAGACAAGTTGCATATTTTGTTAGGATTAGTTTCTATTCGATTGCACAGGTCGAGAACCGATGGTGATTGAAGGTGTGTGATATGAGTAGGTATATTAGTCTTTTTCAACATTTTGATGGATACTTACAACATATGGCCTTAAGAATAAGGTTAGACAACCTACTTTAGATCTGAGAGTTAATAATCGCTCGACGTTGCCATCGCTTAGTCTTAAGCAAAGCCCCTGTTTTACACTACATACAAAGGATAACCAGATTGATTTTTCCACCTATATAGTTTCTGAACGCATCAAGTCGCTACGCAACAGATTCTAAGACAGTAATATACAGACACATTACACAAGACCTAATCACAAATTAGGGTGATCTGAAACATGTACGGCACAGGAACTTTATAAAATGGATTAAACACAAAGGAACAAACCAAGTAAGCTTAATCACAACTGATGTAACATGAAAATCGAAATAACGACTGATAAACTGCAACTTACAATCTTTGATGCCAGTAAGTATTTGCATAAATTATCTGTAAGCCGAAATAATTTTTTTATGAAGAGATAAGCCTGATCGGTGAAAATAAACTTGTGGTGGTGGACAAACATATCTAAATGTCGAAGTAAAACTGACGGAGCTTGGTTACAAATTACGTGAAATGAAATAGATTAAACTGGAATCTCCATACATATCATCGTCGGTTTGAGCTTACAGAACTGAATTTTGGTACGCTTGGAAACAATCTTTGGTAAAGTTTCATTACATTGTTACGATGAATAAATTGCCGTTCGTATACATTCAAACACGACTATACCTTGAAAAGTGAGCACGGTGTACAGTAAAATAGTACAGACTGCAAGACATATGTAGAGACAAGACTCGGACCCGGTGTGGCCTAGAGGAATGATTGACGGGTGACCCCAGATACTGTCGACTTTTTAATTAAGATGAGTGACAGTACATAAGCAAGTTCCTAATTGTTTGAATCTATTGCTGAAGATAGCAAACAAGCACCAAGCAGCTTCGTTCAAGGGAATGCTGTAGACACACGAAACCATATTGAGAATGGAATAATGTTTGCTGTTATTTTACTGCTTACAAATTGAAAAAACTAAAATGGACCTGAAGACAACATGTAACGTGCACGTACCGTCATAACTTCAAAACACTGCCAGCATGACCTTAAAACATAAATATCCAATATATATATCCAATATCTTTTTCTCGAGCTAGTATAAGCCAATTTATTTCTTTGAGCTCGGTTCTTGTGCTTGCGGTACGGTTCCAGTTATTTGGTAGTGTCCAATGAATGGCAGTCTAGCCACTCGACCGTCTAATTCTAGTGAGTTGGCAGTTGGTTGTGAATTTGTATGCCCCATCATTTGAATGAAAACGTTTGTTTCAGGGCAGTGGGATTTCTTGATACCAGCAGCTGTGGCATTATCAGGCTGCAGATCAGTTAGTTGTAATGTGGAGAATAATAAGGAGAAACTTCTAATGCTAATAAGAAGAGGATTGCAGAACCATGTAATAGAAAAAGGGACTAGATAGCACAAATGCTTGTGAATTGTATAGAAGTTTTCATTTGACAAGCTAACAAGCCTAATAGCAATCGGTGAAGCGAACTTAAGAGCCTAAATGTAGGACACAAGCATAAGTGCGGAATTATTAGTTTTTCAATTCTGTTGTCAATTTGGAAAGGTCCGAAGGCTAGATGGCCTTTGTTGGTCGTGATAATTTTGATCTCTTGGTTGATCCAGAATTCTCTTGAATGTACCAAAAAGTTCGTAGCACCTATATGGCTAAAGGCTGTTCGTATAGACCATAGGGTTCTACAACGTTTGGCGGTTAGCTCTCAGCAATGTGCAGTGATATTCAAGCACTGGCTAGCGATGACACCCGGGTTAGTGTTTGGATAACAGGTAGCTTAATGTTATTCAGCGTGTATTCACCAGTACCTTGACGACCAATATGCATCATGAAGCACTTGGAAGAGTTTATCGAAAACAGCCAAATTCTAGACAATTCAGATAATTTCTATAGCTCATTTTAAAGCCACAGACTATCATCTTTATTTTTTACCGTTGTGTATATCTTGATATTATCAGTATATAACAAAGCCACCGAAGATAAGAGATTAGTAAATTATTTACATACCTGAGTAACAATGGTGGACCCGAATGCATCTTGCTAAACATTTCCCTTAGCTAGACAACTTGCAGTCGACCAGAACTCTTTGCTGGCGTCTAAATCGGAAATCTTCAATCCATGTGAGTAAATTTCCTCTAATCCCAGTAATACTTAACTTAGAAAAAAGCTGTTTGTGAGTGATTTAGTCAAAAACCTTTCTAAAAGGTTACATCTGTGAGTAGTTTTTGATCGTTAAAAACGCTCCAACTTTCAAAGGCTAATAGTAGGGTTAGTATAAACCAATTGATTTCTTTGTGCTCGATTCTTGTTCTTTCGGTGCTGTTCCATGTGTTCTTTCAGGCTTATGGTAATTTACGTTTGTTTACAAATGGAGTATGACATTGCTCAAAGGTTTTGAGATTGGAATTGCTAGTCTCTACAGTAATCTAGTATGCGTTCCATCTAGTCATACAGATATATCTAAATCAAGTTTATTCAACAGACGGAATCCCTTAATGGCGATTGCGTTCACAATGTGTGTAGCTTTTGTATGGTCTATAGGGAGAGGCCCTTTTATGGCATGTACATAACTAAAGTAGTTTAATAATCCCTGACCTTTAACACAATCATCTTCGACCGGTGATGCAGTACTACTGTCTCGCCATTATGTATGCATTGTGCTTCACCTCTTTGTCAGCTGGTTTACATATGAGTATAGGTGTTCTGGATAGTCTATAGACTATTTTGTTAACTTCTCTTCATACATTCTTCTAGACTTATAGACGGCTGAATATTTTCGGCTTCCTGATATTCAGATTTTGCCTCGTAAGACCGAATGCCATAAGTTTCTCCCTTACTTTTCCTCTTATCGGGTTGGATTATAACGTCAATATTGAGCAGCAGTGAGGAATTTCTTGGGTCGCTTTGTAGTTCAAGGAATGCGCCGTACAGTAAGTTTTACTCATAAATTCCTGAACAACTCCCAAGCTGTTTGAATGAGGGATTCTATTGGCCGGTCTACTGAGTATACGGTGTCTTGTATGCTTGCATTCCAAACATTTGGTCTAGATGGGGATGATAAACTACTGTTGATAACAATTCGGAAATCATAGATAAGAACTGCATCGTCACTCTTACTAAGGCGTGGCTTATAATCGATCTATGAGACATCATCCCCACAATGGGTTTATATGAGATTTAGTAAGGATGATTCGGAATCCAAATCGTACCTAGTTGCTGCCTTTACATGTTGATCTAGGGTACCTGTAATAACCACGTCAGCTAGTTTTTATACAGTGGTACTTTGATCATTCACATTCTGCAGAAGGTGCAGTTAACTTCCTTAAAATTAAATATCAACAATCTAGAGAGCGAGTATCTCGCCTATCTAACAAGACCCGATTCACCTCACAGTTTCAGCTGCGATAAATCAAGCTTATCAGCAACTCTTGTCTTCTGCATTCCAGGTGGCAAAAAACTAGTTAACACACCCCTTTTTCATTGGATATGTTTACGATAACTATCGAGCGGACAGTATTTCTCATTAATAAGGCTACTCGTCCTCTTTTAAGATTTTGAATCCTATCGGCACTAGATAAGGTAAACTTTTCGAAACCAAGTTGTTCATTCACCATGAAATAAATTAGCAGTAATTCTGTGGAGGAAATTACGTCCGGCTTACTTGAGTTTAATGTTGATTGTCTGCTTAGTGAGCTCCGGGCCTCTGTGTAGTAAACTTGAAGATCATTTAAATAACATCCTGCCTCAACTAACATGGTTCCGGCGTCGTTCTCTGCCGAAGATTCGCCACTCGAAAATTTGCAGTTCTGGGGTCCTTTCTGCTAGCATCTAGCCCTAGTTCGTTTTCAGGCCCCTCGTTTTCTGATGTAGTTAAAAACATTTTGTCTGATAACTTCGATCACTTTCTGCATCTCGTCATTTGTACCAACTGCATATTTTTACTGTAAAGAAGTGCGAAGAACCGATTCATTTATCACTATAAATATTTTATGGAGAGCAAGTTGATGAACAGCTAGCAGCAGTCGACTTTAGACAAACAAGTAAATTGCTTGCCTTTCAACAAATGAAACTAGAAAGTCTAATACCTACATGAAACAAGAGAGTATACAAGTCTAAAATAATGTTTAGTTCATTTTTCTTAATAGTAAGTTACATGAAATGATTCTTCCACTTGGTAGTAGTGACAATAAGTTTTAGTGAGGCAGACTAGACTGAAGCCACAACTTTAGCTTTTATGCGGTGATGAAGACACAGGGCTTGCTATCCAATGGGATAACGTTAGCTACATTCTTCAGGTTTTATAAGCAAAACATAATTCCTTTGACGTCACACCATATTGAATGTTGTATTTACTGAACAAACGGCCAATGCTGAACTTTTTAATACTGATCATGATTCTTATTTTCCGAATTCTGAAAATAAAAAATTTAAAAATCGTTTTACTATTAATATTCAGTAGTAACATCTGGTCACGTAAAAAATGATTGTCTCCTGCTAGTAAGTTACAGAAACGTTCGTAAGTTAATATGATTATCAAACATTATTAACACTTGTGTACACTGTTTTCTGCTTCGCTGGATGCAAATATATTTATTGGTCACAGGAAAGCGACTCCAATCAGCCGAATGAAATGGGTAGACATGGGTTACTAAATCCAAACATGGCAAACTTCAGTGGTTCCAAAACACTAGCTTTAATGACGAAACTAGTCCACCAAATACAATTTTGGGATCCGCCACATCTTATTAATATTCTGGTTTCCACCTGCAAACTAAAAAAGTCCCATGATAGATAACTTTAGAAGCACTTGGGACATTTTCATATCATGTTAGTCCTATTGAACATCCAAAAGTGGTCAACATTTAGAACTCAGAAGAAGACTTATATGATAACTATTCCATTTACAGATGTGAAAACAACGAAATTGTACAGTTTTTTAAAACAATCGCAAGTCACAAATACATGCACATAAAGTGGTATAGGTACAACTAGAAGTGATCTGCAGTTAATTACTACGATTATCAAAAGAAAAGGACGAGTTAATTTTTTAACGGAATGTCTTGATTCATTCAAACAAAACAGCAACCTTGACAATGCAACTGAACTTGTAGTATTGGTTGGCGATACGTAATCAAGAATCATTCCAGTGTGGAACGTACCTCCTAATATAATCATTGATAAGATATGGAGAAACTTTAGGCGAAATATTAAAGTATTGTTCTTGTTAACTTGGAGCATTTTTCAGAATGATGGATTACCAAAAAACTTCTGTCCAAATTTGTACTTTCAGAATACCCTTTAGAGTCATCACTTACTCACTTATGCCTGTCACCCCAAATGGAGCTGAAGGTTCCAAGTAAGGGCTTGTCTTGTGACACAGTTGAGTACTTTCCGCAGTTTGTCTGGCCAACTTCCACCGCTTCTACCTGATATCCTCCTCCGCTGGAATCGGGTTTGTTCTCCCCCACAGTAGGTTATTGTTGATGGTGTCTGGCCAACGGATCCCAAATATTTTGTGTAGACAACTGTTAGTGAATGCTTGTATCTTCTAGATGATGGCTCTGGTAGTTCTCCAAGTTTCCACTTCATACACTGGAACCATCTTGATAACTGTGTTGGAAATTGTTAATTATTGACAGTTGTTTTGAGTTCCAGATGTTGTTCAGTTGTAGGAATACAACCAGCGCTTTGCCGATTCGTGCTTTTACATCTGCATCAGATCCACCACGATTGTCGAAGACGCTGCCCACATTTGTAAAGCATGTTACGTCATCCAAAGCATCTCCACTAAGAGCGATTTAGTTGACGCATGTTGTGTCGTATGGGAGAATCCTGCTTTTCCCGTTACGCTTCTGAGGCTGCCGCTACACCAGTCGTCTTCGCCTTCATTTGTTGTTACGAGTCCATTACGAAGTCCATTTCGCCCAGCTGCGTTCCATCTGTCCACTGTATACCTTGCTTCCCTCCAGATGTTGATGCCTTCATAGTCCAGTCGATCGTCATAAGAAAGAGAAAGGGTGAGAGT